ACTGTAAAGCTCTTCACGCACCCAAGGTGACATGCCGGTGTTTGTCCCCAGCTCTGCCCTCTTTGCTACCCAGCCCTCCACTGGCCTCATCCCGGCAGGACTTTGAGACTTCAAGGAAAAGGCAGGATTTCCAGCCAGGTGAACTTTTCCCGTCTGCAGGAGCCATAAACCCGCGGCCCCATCACGAGACTTGGGATTTTCCAGCTCCCCAGCTAATGCCATAAATTGGCTGAATAACCTTATCTGCTCCAGCCTACGTCTTCCAGAACGGATGGAGAACCAGCCCACCCTCCTGGCTGCCCCCCACGGGGTTCAAGCATCCCCCAAAAAGTGAAGGACCATCCTCGGTCCAACGGCCAAGCCCCGCCGTGTGCATCGCACGGAGAATAACCTTATCTGCTCCAGCCTACGTCTTCCAGAACGGATGGAGAACCAGCCCAACCTTGGCTGCCCCCCACGGGGTTCAAGCATCCCCCAAGAAGTGAAGGACCATCTCGGTCCAACCGGCCAAGCCCCACCGTGTGCATTGCATGGGATGTGGCTGAAAAGTCACCCCAGGGCCCCTTCCACGCAGCTTAACCTCAGAAAATGCCTCATGAGAAGGTGCTAGGCAGCGGGGAGGTTTATTTAACGGCTCTATAAAACAAGCTGAGACAAACCCTGCGCACGGGCCCCTGCCTGGGGAGCAAAGTGCTGACTCAGGCGTCCTCTCGTGCCCCAGGGTGCCACTGCTCAGCGAGAAAATGGCCTCTCTGGGCTTAAAAGTTAAGCCCTGCACTTCAAAGCATCCGCAGACAATGCATGCAGGGATGTCTCCAGCCACTCGAGCACATCCTGTAGCCTGGAGGGTTCATTTACCTCCTAGCAAAGGTACATCAGCCACGAACGCCTGAGCTGCTCCATCTCAGAGAGCAGCAAAAAGCCAGCGAGCTAAACCGGCTCCTGGAGCTCAGACAGACCCCGGGGACAGCACGGGGGCCGCACAACCGGCCCTGGGGAGGGACGAGCGGGGAGAAGATGGCTCCTTCCAAGGGCAGTAAGCTGCTAGGGCAGCTAGCCCTATGCTCAGACCGTGCTCTGAGCAACAACAGTGATGTCCGTGGGGTAAGGCTTAGCCTTTCGCTTAACCCCCCCGTCCCACAGAGCTGGTACCAACAAGCAAGCGTTAAATCCAGCCTGTAAACCTCAGCGTGGGCTGAAACGTTCGGTGCCGCTCCCGCCTGCCTCCTGACCGGCCGAGCAGCTTTCCCTCCGCAGGGTCCTTGCCCGGAGGACAGACGTGCCGCTCCAAGGAGCCATGTGATGCTTTGGAAGCTCCGCTGCATTTTTCTGCTGCTCCAAGCCATCGTCAGGAGGCCAGCAGCTGAATGTGAATATTTGCTTCTTGCTTAAGGGCTCCGTTGAGTCCAGGACGGCCACGTGCCAGCTAGGGCAGGTAGCTCCCAATTAGCGAGAAGGCTGGAAGGTCTCGGGTCTGCTCATCAAGGTGAGAGGTAACACTGAGCGACGGCTGATGCTCCTGCCTCCAACAGCCCTTTGGGAGCCACCTTTGAGTGCAAACATGCCTGGCTCAAAAGGAGAAGGCAGCGCTTTGAATTCTGAGTTTCGAAGGCGGAATAACTTTACTGGCTTCCAGCCTAAAAAAAGTCACAAGTGACAGAGAGAGAGACAGACCAACCCCCAAAGGAAACCCTCGTCTGCTGCGACGCAGGAAACTGATGCCAAGCCAAAAAAATCCTTGGAAGAGACCATGGGAGCAGGTTTGCCACCTCTCCGGTTCCTCAAGGGGAGAGGGGTGGAAAGTGTGAGACTCTGGGTGATTCGTACCACTGGAGCCCCCTCGGCACATCCCTTCACAAAGAGGGTCCCTCTCCCAGGTGGTCATGAGGCATCTAAGCAGCTTTGAAGAGGCCTGAAGAGCCCTTTCCTGGATGTTTCCCTTCCCTTCTCCTCCTGCCGGGGCTCAGCGCGGCGTGTGAGCTCCGCCACGGCTGTAGGCTCTCCCTCCATGCGGTCCCCTTGGGTGGTGGCACGGACGAGGCATCACACCATGGTTTGATCTGGTGATGCCGTGCTGGATCCCACCGGGGAAGGCAACAGACCAAGGAGGGCACCTCCAAGGGCGCCTCTTGGATGCACCAGCAGCACTGGCAGAGGGACCACGTGCCAGTGCTGGGTTATCCCCCAGCCCGCTGGCCCCAGGCAAGGGAGAAGAAATGATCTGGGTTCTTCCTTACAAATGGCAGAAGCTTTTGGAACTGTTTGCCTGTTACTTTAAAGGCAGTTTATGTTTCCATTTAGTTCCACCCTGTCTTCTCTGGCAAACCATCTCGAGATACCCAGCTTGGGACCGGGATCACTGATGGTGAGACCACCCATCAACAGCCCCCACCTCTGCCCGGGAGGGCTGTGGGTGCTTCTCCCACCCATCTCCCCGTGGCGGGCAGGCACCGGAGCAGCTCTGCACCTCTTGGCGACCACACATCCCTAACAGAGCAAGAGACCTTCCCACCTCTGTGGGCTCCTGCAGAGATCGCTGCTCAAACCACACTCCCGTCCTCAAGCACGGGACGTACCGTAACCTCTGCCTCCAGGACTCCGAGGACGTATCAGGAGAGAGGCTAAAGTCCTTTTCGAGTCAGCAACCGGGCATGATCAAGCCTGAGCTGGGTTAGAAAATAAACTACCTTTAACCGTAGACCCTCCGCCTGACCTCACGGACCTTTGAACTTGCCCACTGGCACCGTGACAGGGAAAATTGCTGCGCTGTGCTTTAATAAAAACCCTGTCCCCCCTTTCCCTTTCCCCTGAGCACTCATCCTTCAGCTGGAAATCATTGCCTAAACTTAACAGGCCTATTTTCCTTCCCCGCTTCGCCGTTCCCGGGCCGGCCGGCAGCAGAAAGGGCAGCGGTGGTCCCGGAGGGGAGGGGAAGATGATGGGTGGTGCGTGGGGAGTAAAGGGCTTGTGCCGGCGGTGGGGGAGGACCACGCTTTAGCATACGCTGTCTTGGTCTCTCAAGCATCCCCCTCGTGCTCTCCAGCCCAGGACGAAACATCACCAGCATCTCCTAAGTCAAACATGAGGCTGGCTTCTCACCCCGCTGCGCGGAACAGCTGAGCTGGCTCGTGGACAAGGGAGGGATGTAACGTGGGAACGCGCATACGGCTTCAATTTGAAAAGTGGCTAAAAATAGCACCACAGAGCTCCCACGTTCACTGGGTCTCTCCGGCAAGAGATCAATCTTTTCCAGAGAGTCCTGTAAAAGTTTTCCTCCTCTATTCCCATCTTGCTTTTCCTGGAGGCAGCAGAGATGTAGTTAATACCAGCGCTTCAACTGCCATCAGTAGGTTTCAGAGTTAATCGCTAGTACCCCAGGGCATGGCTCCCCCCTCCCAGAACCACCGCTTTGGCTCCAGACCTGCATCTACCCCACGTGAGCCACAACGTGACTTGACAAAGGACAGTCGGGGGTTTTTTTTTGTGTGTGTGGTTTTGTTTTGTTTTTTTTTTTTGCTTCACCGGATTTTTTGGGGCATGAGTCACCGTAAAAAGCCCCGGCTTGCTGAGCTGCCGCGAGCCGGTCCCACCGCACTGCCGGCTGGCTGCTGGGAAAGCCGGCCCCGCCAGCCAAGGCTCACCCTGCCAGAGCTGGAGGGAAAAATTCGAGGTGGCCGCGATACGGGAGAGCTTTTAAATGGGACCCTGCCCAGGCTCACTACTGCTCTAATTGTCCTGCTCCCTTAACGAGGAATAGGGCTGCCTCCCCTGCCAAGGGCTGCTCAAACCAGGGGCTGTGCAGACGGGGGAGAAGAGAGGGGACGCTATGAGTGGGATATTTCCTCTGTCTTATTCCTAGATCCCCGTATGATTAAACCCAACATTTCCAGACTCCTATCAGAAGCAAGAAAACATATGCTCCGCTAGATTTTTTCCTGGGGAAATGTAATGTATTACATTAAAATTTAATGCAAGTGGGGGAAAACCTCTGAGATCCTTGCTCTGCAGCCCAAACAGCGGCTGCAACCCTGCCCTGCCCACCTTTCATCTCATTTTTGCAACCTGCCATGCTTCGCCTCGACGTTCATCACTCACGGGATGAATCCAGCGGCAACTTTGCAGCACGCCCTCGGGCTGCCCAAAGACTTGGGCCCAAACTGCTGCCCAAGCGGGTACAGCTCAACACCCAGCTCGGCTTAGCAGATTTTAAGAGCTCTGCACACTTTATTTTCCGATCCCGGTGATGGGACCCCCCCCCCATCGGTAGCTCGTGCACCCCTCCGCCTTCGGAGAGGCAGCTCTCTTCTCCCATGGGAGCATGGCTTGGGTTTCTCGCTCTCCCCACATTCATTTTTGAAGCCACCTCCCTGAAAGCAAGGGAGGAAAACCCAGGGTCGGGTCCTGACCCCTCCTCCCACCAACCTCCTCACCAATTTCTCCACCTTGCCTCGACTGTTAAGCTCATTATTTCCCAGCGAGCCGAGGCATTGGTGTCCCTTCCCCCAGATGACATTGCATTAAAGACGACGCCCTGCCCGCTGCTTGGCTTTCCAGCCTCCACTGCAGCTCCTTAAAAAGCCGAAGCAAAACCTACCAACTCTGAGCATCAAAACACGCAGCTTTGGAGGACGAGACTTTTGCTGGGCGAGCATCACGCCGAGCCGGGTGGAGGGATTCACTCGACTTGGCACCCCGAGCCCAAGCCTGTCGTCGTGCTCCAGCTGGTCTAGTTGTTTCTTAATGGAACGGGCTCTGACAATGCTATTGAATAAGGAGCTACTTTGCCTCTGGGCATGGCAATGAGAAATACGGTGCCTCGACATGTGAAAGGCAAGTCCCGTTTGCTCTAAAACCATCTGCCGGCGAGCGAGGGAGGCTTGTATGAAACGGTTTTGGCTCCGAGGGAGCTCGGTGCTTGGGCTGCTCGACCCCGTCATCCCCAGCCCACCCTGCCCGGGGCGTGCTCGGGGGCTTCGGTGAGGCTGGTGGGATGCTCTGACCTGATGATGAAGGCTCCTCTGGTCTCCAGGAGTTTCCGTTCGCTGCTGAAGCGCTTGAGCAGGTTGATCATGAACTTGTAGAAGTAGGAGTTCATGGTGGGGGTGGAGGGTGAGCACTCCAAGGCTTTCATACCTGGGGAGGCAGGGGAAGGGGAGAGCAAATTAGAGCAGCCGGGGCCCTCTTGCCAAAGCAGTCTCAATCGGAGAGCGGACACCCAAAATACGGTCACAGCACTTGGCAGAGGAGGGTTGAGGCACGAAAAGAACATTTCCAAGCCTTGTATAACCACATCTGCTCGGCCCAAGCAGAGCTGGCCCTGCCACAGCTCTCTCCATCCCAGGGGAAAGCATCTTGTGGTGGTCCCAGCCCCTCAAGCAGCACGCAGGGATGAAATGGGCTTTTTGGGAGATCATCCCAGAGCCGTTCAGCTTCAGTAGCTGATAGGAGAAGGGAGCCCGAGGCTCTCGATCAATAGGCAATCCCGTCTCCTCGGATACGGCATGTACACTCGTCCCAAAAACCAGATTGCTGGTGAACTGAAGAGCCTTTAATCCAGCCCCACGTGCCACAGAAGCCCCGAGCCCAGTGCGTGCGTAGCGGCAGACACGCCGGGTCATGGCACGGCCACCAGTTTACGCTCGGTGATGTGATGCCCCCCGAGCAGGAGCCACTTGGTGCAACAGTGTCACATACACCGTGCCCCGGGGCTAGCATAAAGTACCGGTCAAACCACAGCAGAGCTCCAAGCTTAGAGACTGTACCAAAAAATGGGTTTTTTTTCTTTGTTCTCTGTTTGCAAAAACCCTTTATCAATAAAAGCAGTTGAAGGTTGGGAAAGGGAGACTGGCACGGAGGAGCAGCTGTCCCTCCAGCCTGGAGCATCCCTGCTCCTGGAGTGCCTGCCGGGTCGGGGCACAAACCCGCCTGCTGCTTCTGCAGCAGCCGTGGTTTCTGCCCAGAAGGCAAACAAGGTGTCGTTTCGAGGCAGCAGCTATCACTGATCACATTTATAAGTCTCAAAGGCAGAAAATTACAGGTAATGAGAGTGGCCGGACTCTCTGAGCAAGGAAGGTGCGGGAAGTGCCCCGGTCAGAGGGAAGGGGGAGGATGTGAAAGCAGAGAGAGGAGAGATGGCAAGGAGAGCTGGTGTGCTCAGGAGAGCCTAGATGTGCTCCGACACACCCAGACCCAACGCGCTTCCAGGACGCAAGGCTCGCTCGTGTCTTCTCCTTAGGCACTTCGCTTGGGGCCAGAGGATTTCTAGCAGTATGGCGAAGGGATGCTTTGCACCCTCCTGTCGCGCGGGGCACCCGGAGCTGGCAAGCCTCTGCCAAGCAGCCAGCATCCCCCTCTGCACCTCTCAGGGCTATAAATTCACTCTTGGTGGGCTCCTATTGCTCGTTTAACAGCAAACGGTGCTCCGGGTTGTAAGGTGCATGGGCTGCTGCCACAGGCGGCTCTCGCTGCTGCGGCACCCGCTTGGTAAGATGTCCTAACTCGGTCCAAGACTATTCGCGGGGCAGGTAGCCAGGGAAGGCCGGCAAAGGGGCATCTCCCAGCTCAGGGTACGCAGAGAGCATTAGAAAAAATAGCCCTTCAAACCCACAAGTGCAGGGAGCTGGCAGGTAAAGACTGCTTTTCCCACAGCGAAACTACAGGGGAGATGGTTTATTTAGCACGCTCAATGCAAATGTTTGGAGAGAGCCTTTTAAAGGCGACTTTGCAACACGGGGAGCCCTCTCTCCCTTAATTCCTCCTATGGAAAGACCAGGTCTAACCGTGGTAAGGAGGGAAGCTGGCGCACACGAGCGCCCCAAAGGTTATTCCCCCCATCCCTAGAACAGCCAGTATTTCCATCAGCTCACCGAAGGAAACCTGAAGAGTTTGATTTATGTAGGTTGTCTGCTTCTACCGAGACTCAGCAGAGCATGGAGCAGCCAATTAAAGACGCAATCAAGCCACCAAAGCCCAGGAAAGCTGATGGAAAAGCCACTGGGCTGTTTTCCACCCTGCCTGTCCCGGTGACACACAAGAGACGCAGACGTGGGCTCAGCCAGAGCAGTTTCCTCATGCTTGCATTTAGCATCTGAGAGAACATACGCAGCCAAAGAAAAAGGAAAATAAAATACGAGGTTATGTGAACCAGAACCTGGTGTCTCCTTCCCGCTGGAGCCACGTGTTCACCCCGCCTTGGTGCATCTGAAACCCCAAACCAGGCTTTGAAGCAGGCATCTCCCAGAGCACAAGTGTTCACCGTAGCATCGTGTTTCCCCTCAGCTGCGGGGAAGATGATCTGGGAAAAAAAAAATAGGATCTAGCTGAGCCGATGCGCTCCAAAACAAAGGTGCGTTTGTTCGAAGGCAGGGAGCACCTGGCGTGAAAATACAGCCGTGCCCCACGTGTCGTCACTACAGCTGCTCAGCACTGCTCAAAAGCGGGTTGAGAAGAGACATGGTCTGGACAAGGCGACACGGAGCAGCTCTGTCTTCCCACCACGCCTGCCCGCGGCTCAGCCTCGCATCTCCCAGCCTGTACCGTGGGCAGAGCCTCAAAAGCAAGCATTGCTTTTCTTTCTGGTGCGGAGGGTGGGGAGCAGAGGTGAAGAGCAGATGGAATCCGTCTTTCGAAGCAGCAAAAGTGATATTTTTTGTCCATTTTTGTCAGCAGTGCCGAGGCATCCAAACCAGAGCTGCGCTGCAACCCAAGAGCTAGGAGCAGGTAGGACATCACACCTTCACCCCCACCAGCTAGTAATGCCCAACGTTGTAGCTTGCCAGGGGAAAGTCTGATCTTGGAGTTTCTCCCTTCTTAAGACGCTCAAAATTGTCTCTCTGATCCCCACAGCGTCAAGGACGGCACTGCTGCCGGGGCTGGCCTCTCTCGGCAGGAGCACAGGCAGTGCCTGCAGCGGCTCTGCCATCGCTCCCTCCGCACGGCAAAGCCAGCTTTGTACCTCACCACCGCCTCGCATGCCTTCCAGTGACAGCCCAAACCATTACACATCCTAAAACACATCCCAAGGGAAAAACAGGAGGAGGCAGCAACTCTTCTGCTCCCTGAAAGGTCCGGCGCTCCTGTCGCTGGAGTGCCAGCAGCGATATGCACAGGACAAAGCCCAGGAGCCACGCGGCTGGGAATGCCGGTGCAAGACAGACCAGCCAGAAGCACCCTCAGATCTGCCCTCCCGAGGTGGTGCAGCATCTCCCTCATCTCAGACTGGAGACTCGGAACGATCCGCCGGGTCAGCTGGGTATCCAGAAGCCAGAATCACCTCGGAGATCAGATCCCGGCTGCAATCTGCAGGACGATCAACCTCCAGCCTCCAGTTCTGTCATCTTCTTCCATCAACCCGCTCCCGAACCTCCGTCCCTCCTGCCCAGCCTGGAGGAAGCCGGGCAGTTGGTCAGGGAGCTGGGAGCAAGGAAGGACACAGATGGCAAAAACAAGTCTTAGCCCTGTTTTTTTAGGAGACGAAAGCGTGATGTGACCGTCCGCATGCCCCAGGGGATCACTTCATCAACCTTTGCCTCTGGGAGCATCGAGACCGAACTCCAAAGGGGTCACTTCTCCATCCCTTGCCCACCCGGTGCCCAGCAGCTACACCTGCATGTCCCTAAGGAAGGTTTCCACCACGGCACGCCGTGCCGGAGCAGCCTTGCCAGTGCTCTCCAGGGGTAACGCCGGGGGTGAGAAACCAGAGTGTAGGAGTCTCCCAGGCTGCAAAAGGACGATGAAAATCTCAGCTGGAGTTTAAAAGGGCAATACTTCTTCCAAGCAGACAAAAAGTTTCTCTTGCAAAACCTCCCAATCCTCCAAACTTCCCGTTTGCTCTGCATTTACAGGATGTCTAGGAAGCGGCTGGCACCTCGTTTGCTATCGTGTAACCCTTCCCGGCGCAGCCCGGCGCTCAGCTCATCGCCCCGTGGGTTACGGCTCAGCGCAGCGGCATCCCAGGCTCGACAGAACCGTAGGAGCAGCTTGTCAAGTGTTTCTACGAAGTACGAGAGACAAGCAGAGAGAAGTGTTATGAAAACTGTGGCTTAATTAACCGAAGCTTGCACCTCTCCCCCTTCACCCGAAGCGATGCTTTGCAGATCCGTAACCTGCCAGATCGGCTGTTAACGTACCCTGAGCGGGGCTGGTGGCACGTCACGGCTCTGCTGCCTTTTTTTTTTTACTGGCGTGGGGGAAGGAGCTGGAAGAAAGATCCTTGCTCAGAGGAATGATGAAACTCAGCCCAGATATCAGCTATAATAGGAACGAATGGGAATTTGGGGCCCACGGGCACATCAGAGCAGTGAAACAGCCTGCGAAAGGCAGGTGGAAATTGCAGCTCTGCGGCTGAAATGAGTCCACGCCGTCCAGCCAGCCTGGACCCTTCCCAATGACTACAGCAGCCTCCTGCATCCCGGGGTGCTGGGCTAACAAATCCTTTCCCGAGGCAAGCTTCACAGCCTGGGGTAGAGCCAGGGACACGAGCGGGCTTCTCGCACCGCCTAAGCCAGCACCAGCATCCATCCCCCCCACCCATGGGTGCTAGCTCGAGCGGAGCGTGGCGAACGCCTGCTGAAAGCCCCGGTGCATCCCCCAGTGCTCACCAGCAGTTTGCACCGTTCCCAGCGCTCGCGCGGCCACACTATAAATCAAATGAGACAGGCAATTAGGGATCTATATTAAGACCCTTATAAATATATATTGTATAGCAGCCTGGAACATTCGGGACGTCTGGCTGCTTGATGGGCTGAGCCGTCTTGAGACCTACAGTGGCCAAGGTGTCCCCAGATATTGCTCCGGGGGGGCCTGGCAGACTCTGACACGAACTTGGCTTTTCCCACCTCGGCCGCAAAGTGCCGAACTTCATCTTGGCAGAAAACGCAACTTCTGCTAATTTACCATAATTGGTTTCAAACTGGCCTTAATTAAAACCGGTGCGGACTTGCTTAACTCCCCTTAAACCAAATTTAAGTAAGATTGGACTAGAATTGATTCCTTTCCGAAGCCAGCTAAAGCTGGGTAAGCTGTTTAAAGAGTATCCACAAGGGCATTTGCGGCAGTTTAGCTAAAATGATTTACCGCAATCCCTAACTGAAGCAATTTCAGCTCGGATATAGGGAGGGCGAGCTAAGAGCCGG